TTAGCATTTAGAATGCAACAACCTGATCATGTACATTTTGGGAGAATGAAAGAAGAATATATTTGAGGATATATTGATGATATATTGTCTACTAATGTATACTCCATTGCTAACAAAATTATTCCATTAAAAAAGGTGGAAGTGATTGAAGAAAATGCTATGAAAAAGTAATGATTATTCCAAAAAAATAAATAATTGGTTTTTGGGTCTAAAACTTGATTAGTGCAATGAATGTAATATTTAATCACTGTACTTTTAGAACTTTGGCTTCTATCAGCAAAATTATTTGGCTAGAAAATGCTTATTATAACAACACCAAATTTAAGCAAATAAGCACCGAGTAGAATATGCAATTTGATTAATGAAAGATTTTACTTTTTTTTTTGTTTTGATTCAATTTTTTTATATACAACTTTGGTTCTAATGAGATTGATTTTCAATTTGTATCGCAATTAGTGACCATATGACTTGGGTTAAAATTATGTGAATTGTTATTTTTATTTTTTCTCTTAATTATCCTTATAGCAAATATTTGTAAAATTGATTACTTTTTTCTTAATTTTTGAATGTGAAAAATGTTAATTAATTACTATACTATTTTGTATATTAATTAGAATACTTACTAATAGTAATAGAATTATTATTTCTAATTAGTATATAATATTTATAAAGTTAAATTATATTTTAATATTCAACTTTTTTTGTTTGAAATAAGAGTTGAATTATTGGTTAACATTATTTAATAATTATATTTTAATTTTTTGCACATGGATGCACAAACTATATATATAATGAGTTTTAGGCACAAAATATAAACATTTTAAAAGTAATATGACTTGTGATTATATAATTTGATTGTTTTCTCTACATTATATTGATTATAATTTTTTTTGGGAGACATGTTATAAATTTTATAAAAATTTATAAATAAAATATATATGATATGAATTATTTTTAAAAGAAATTTATATAAATTGAGTTATAGTTTAATTAATGATTTATTATCTTACCAACTGATCTAATATTTTGATTGCTTACGTTGAATAAATTTTTAAAACATTTTATATGATACATTAAAAGGATAAACATATTTTTGATTAATTGAATTCTAAATTATAGTCTACATGTAAAGTGATACTTGTGAAAATATTTTGAAATCTCAAAAAAAAAAAAAAAAAGAAGTAAGGGTCGTAGTTTAAAAACTAAGTGTTATAAACATTTAATGAATGAATAATCTGAAAAAAATTGTCTTTGATAATTTTTTTTTAAACAAAAGAATTAAAACTTACAAACTAAAAATCACAAAAGAAATATATTTTATTGTATTTGTAAACAAAGAAAAATAGATCCAATAAAAATAGATACAATCAAACAATATATAAAGTATCTTTAATTTTTCATTGATGTTGAGATCATATTTGACAATATTATCTTATTGTTCATTACCTGATTGGACTATTTGAATACGTGTTTGCAAAAATTAATTAACAATAAAATCATCAACATAACGTTAGGGTGAAACTTGGTGCATTTGTTATTGAGTAGAAAAATTATAATGGTTGAGTTTGTTTCCATAAAGAGATGACCCATAATATATACCTTTTCCTTAGCTATCTTTAACCCATAAAATATAATTCATAATCAAACTTGATACACGTGATTTATTAAATATAATATAATAAATAACATAATAGAGAAAAATATAAAAAAAAATTATTTAATAAATTGTCGATTGTAGGTGAAATTATTCTTTTTGATTTTTTTTTATGCGTAACACAATTGAAAAAATACCATATCACTACATGTGAAAAAAATAATTTCATTAGTTTTAATTAGAAAAAAAATTATATTATATTGTTTTCAAAAATTAAGAAATTAAATTAATTTTTTTAATTAATGGAAAAGTCAAATTACACTAATGAAATAAGGATTAAATTACTTTTTTAATTCTTACACTTTCACTTACTTTATCTTTCACTTACTTTATCTTTTAGGTTACATAGTTTAAAATATACTTTTTTATCCTTTATACTTATATTTTTCAATTCCTTTTAAGATAGAATATTTAAGTCTTTATCCTTACAATTTTATATTTTATTTTATTTTTTATTGAAATTTATGAATGTTAAAGTAAAACGAACAAAGAATTTCTTAATCATTATCGTCTAACTTTTATATGTAATCTTTAAGTAATTATAAGAGATATTATTTGTCAACTTATTTTTATCACATTGTAATTAATATATTTTAAAGTTTTAAAAAGGATAATGAAGGATAAATTACAATATTTAGTAAGATATTTAAAATTAAAAAATTTATTTTCAGCCTTTTTAACAAATATTATGATATCTTGATAAGAAAATAATATATAGTAAATTCTTGTGATAGTTGCTTCATTGATTTATTATTTTTTTTTTTTTACAATTCATAAGTCTAATATATTTAAAACTTTTTTAAAAATAAATTATAAATATTAAATTATAGTAAATAAATATATCTTAATTACTATATTTGTAAATAACACAACCATTATAATTTATCAGATATTTTAATGATTTGTTTAATATTTATAAATTATAAATATTTTAAAATAAATCAAACATTAATAAAATTATTGCCAATACATTAGACCCACTAGTTTTCAACCGTTTGAACTTGAACTTTCTAGACTAATCACTTTTTTGTATTTAATGCATGCAATCAATATATAGCTAGCTGAATGACCGATACGTGTAACATCGTTTAATAATGTCACAATTTTTTATAAATGCAAACTATTCACATTTTTTTTATCAGAAAAAATATAAATAATTTACATTGATAAGGGATCCGATATTAAAAAAATGAATATAATTTATATAATCCTTCAATATATTAGGATTTTCTAACACACCTAATTTTTTTTATCCAGCTTTTAGTAATATTAAAAAAATATTTCTTAATTATGAGAAAGTATTACTAATATACTTTTATAACATTTTATTAAATGTAAGATAAAATCTATGTTACTAAATTTTTTAACAATATTTTATATATTAATGACAACATTTTTAGAAATGCTACTAAAATAGTATTTTGCAACATTTTAATAATTTTATTAAGTTTTTGTAAACTTTATAACATGATAATTAAGATTAATATAAATTCTACTATCACATATATTTTATGATTACTGTCTAGAAGTCCTTTAAAGTTAAAAATATTTTTAGTTTTTTTTTTCAAGAGAAGAAATCATAAGTTAGTCATTACTAAATCTACATTACATAATTTGTTTATCTTAAGTTTCACTCTAAGACTATATGTATTTTTTATGTGATATTATTTTACTCAATGCGAGACTGTAATTTTGAAAAATAATTAGAAATTGAAGAAATATATTTTTTTATATGTTAGCATTTTACTTGATGCAAAACTTAATTTTGAGAAAAATTAGAAAAAATAGTATTAAGATAAAAAAAATGTTATCTTATCTATAATAATATTTTCTTAAAAAAATTATTTTTGTAATATATTAATTTAATCTATAGGAACATTTTAATAAATGTAAATAGATAAGTGTACATTGTTAAAGATGTTAAATAAGAATAATGACATTTATTAAATTTATCACTTAATATTATTTTATCATCAAATTAGTGTGTCATAAATTCATAATTATATAATTTAACTATTTATAATGATTTGTGATCAGGTAGAAATTACGTTAATTATATGGAATTTTTGGTATTATTAAAACGAAAGAAGAAATATTATATTCAAGATTTTCATGCTTAGACCCAATTTGATCAAGTTCAACTTAAAGTGGCCAGGTCGGTTCTAATTCTTGTTTTTGCGCCCACCAACAAAAACTTATTTATTATTAGTATTTATAAAAAATTCTTTATCAGCTAATTTTTTACAATAATAACTGACTGTGTTTTTATGTAGAAAATAATTTTAAATAAAAATATAATAACTTTAATAAAATATTATTAATAGTTTTAAAAAGACTTCATCAAGTTATCCTTTAGGAAAAAAAAATGTTTAATTAGTCCAGAAAATGACTCTCTAGATCTCTATGCCCGATTTCTTAAGTGGGTTGAAATTTAAGAAGTGTATATATAACTAAAAATTAATTAACCTACTAATGTTAACTACATGTCCTGTATTCTACAATACTTCCATACACTCCAAAATAAAAGATTCATGTCATATTAATTACTCAAGTCATTCGCACCGAAAATATTCGACATTCAAGTCATTCTAACTTTCTAAGTCACGTTATAAAAAGAACATCTCCTTCGAATTAATTACTAGGTAGATTCTCTTTTTAATTACATACTCTTATATATTAATTTAAGGATGTTGTACACTGGCTTGAGACTTGAGAGACCAACTTCCTCATTTTCTACACTGCTAGAAGCATTTCCATCCATCGCGTCAACATTTGGACAAATTATACAATTTAGACTCTAGCTCGGTGCATGATATGTGTAGTATCACTTCGTTTTCTTGGAAGATCAGAAAACATATATATGTTTTTTAATCCCTGCTCGCATTAATTAAGAGCTTAGCAAGATAAAAATTCATTAAACTATATATTATCGTATTTTCTTTAATTTACAGAAACTAGTCTAGCTAGGAATTTGAAGAAAAGATTATCCCTGTGGAAAGTATAGGATAACTAAAAAATTTAGATACATAAATATTTGAGTTAAGTATTGGAAAGAGAAGAAAAAACTTTTTAGCACATGAATTAATCCATATTTGTAAGAAATCACGGTTGTTAAAGAAGCTGAGAAACTTTGAAATGTTGGTGAACTTTCCACAACCAAAGCTTACCCACAAGTTCTTGCTAGTAAATAGTAATTGACAAATTGTGAAATATCCCATAACTTTGAGGGTTGTTTTGGTCATGGAAAAATCAACACGGTATTTCACTCACTCCATAACACCGGCATGCCCATATTATTATATAAAGAGATTGATAGATAGATATTCCAAAACTTCATTTTATTGTTCAGGATTGAGGAAGGAAGCTCTTCCATCACCACCTACTCTTTATTCTGGTCCCTCCCTTGCTCATCTGAATGCCTATCATGAGAGCCTCTAATTCACATTCCTTTCTCTCTCATGCACACCTTTTCGTGCTTTGCTTGCTACTATTTGTGGTCACAATTCAAGCTTCCAAAAAGAGAGCCTCAGCCATGTATGTGTTTGGAGACTCCACAGTAGACCCAGGAAACAACAACTTCATAAAAACAGCTTTCAGAAGCGATTTTCCACCCTACGGTAGAGATTTTCTTAACCAAGCTCCCACCGGAAGGTTCACCAACGGCAAACTTGGCACTGATTTTATTGGTAAAGTCATAGCTAACTTCATTTTCTTTGCATATTAAGTGTTGTGACCACAAAATTAATACATAGATAAAAGAGAATATAAATCTTACAAAATTAAATTTATGATTAATTTTCTTTGTTAGAAATGACACAATTCTAGTAATAACTTACTAAAAAATTTGTTGTATTACAATTCAAGTCACACATCTCCAAAATAAGATGATAAAAATAAGTTTATAATGGTATGAATGTCTCATTGGTAATAAATTTTTTGAGAGATTATCAAAAATAAAATCATGAAGATTTTAGATTCAAAATGGATAATATTTTATCAATATGAAAATATGTATGTGTGAATCTTGTACTTAACAAAATATTATGAGGGGTATATTAAATGTAAAAAAATGTAATTAATATTACATTAAAAAATTAACATGACACTTAAAAAATTTATTATTTAAATACAACACTTATTATGAGATGTAGGGAGTAGTTCATCTATTTTGATAATGATTTATTTACTAGAAAATAGTAACACATCTCTTACAATATTGAGTGAAGAAATTAGTCTCTCAAAGAATACTGCATAAAAAAAAAAATTGTTATAGCAACTTATTGATAAGGGCCATGCATGGTGAAAACTGATATCTCTTTGCTTGATGCAGCTTCATATTTAGGCCTAAAAGATTTGTTGCCACCATATTTGGATCCAAATCTCAGCGACGAAGAACTTGTAACGGGTGTCAGTTTTGCCTCTGCTGGTTCTGGCTTTGACCCACTAACTCCAATTCTGGGAGTATAACTATTTTTCTCTGTCTCTCTACATTCAGCTTTCTCCGTTTTGCGTGTCCATTATTGTTATTAACTGTTCAACACTTATTATGATCAGCTTCACCATGTTAAAAGAAATATGACAGTGTCAGGCTTTCTTCATTTACCATTTTGCCGTGTATTTGCCTCAAATGGATGACATAAGTTTTCAGTCCAAAAAATAACGATGACTTTTTGTAATTAGACATTTTCTTTGTGCATGCGGTTCTACTAGCTAAGATGTATGTATAATAATTAATTAATAGGATACGTGTTTTTTATATATATTTTTTACAATATATATACATTATCCATGAATTGGTATCGTGTGATATTAATATATACCATATAATAATATTCTTAACTAGTTTTGTGTTGTTGTGTTGGCAGAATGTAATTCCAATACCAAAGCAGTTGGAATATTTCAAAGCATACAAAAAGAGGATAGAGGGTGTGCTTGGTAAGCAAAGAACCGAAAATCATATAAAGAATGCAGTATTTTTCATCAGCGCGGGTACAAACGACTACGTCATTAATTATTTTCCGGTGCCAATACGAAGAGAAAGCTACACCACCTTAACCTACGGCCACTTCTTGCTTCAACATGTAAAAGATTTCATACAGGTTTGAATCTGGTCGAATCACACTGCACGCATGCTTCTTTTTTTTCTTTTGATATAGTATCATATAGAGTCACACACAGCACTTTTTTTAGTTTTTCCATACCATATGAAATAAAGAATGTGAGTAGTTGGTAGTTACAGTGCTGATGTGATCCAACAAACGTTGAAATCACAAACCTCAGTATCCTAAATCCTAACTCATCCGATACATAGAGAGAAAGTGGGCAACTATAGTTTTAGAAATTAAAATGATGTAGTATTTATAATTTTATACAATAACTTGTAAAGTTCAATTTTGTGTTTGTTTTTCATCACATCATTTAGAGACATTCATGTACACTAGCTTTATGATATTGGTGCTAGATGAATTAATTCGTCTTGTTTATTTATGATTAGAATTTATGGAGAGAAGGTGCTCGAAAAATAGCTGTGCTTGGACTACCTCCGATAGGATGCTTGCCGATCATGATCACCTTCAATTCCCATAATGTCTTTCTCGAACGTGGTTGTGTAGACAAGTATTCATCTGTTGCAAGAGATCACAATATGATGCTTCAACATGAATTGTTCTTCATGCAACTAAATTTCTCTAATCCTGCTGGTGCTAAAATCTCTTACATCGACACATATGGACCCTTGGACAACATGATTCAAGTGCGTCAAAATCTAGGTAAGACAATTTTAATCCCATTTACTAATTAGATAACCTTAATTAATTAATTAATCTTCTTATATGCTTGTGTGGCAGGTTTTGATGAGGTTGATCGCGGTTGTTGTGGAAGTGGTTACATCGAAGCGAGTTTTCTGTGTGATGGGATTTCGTATGTGTGCTCTGATCCATCAAAATTTGTCTTCTGGGATTCAATTCACCCTACGGAGAAGGCATATTATGACCTATTTTTGGCAGCCCGTCCCAAAATCGATGCCCTTATCAACGACTAAGATTCCTACAATGAATGATATATATTCTGCCCCCTCAATAGTTAGATATACTTAATTAGAACAAAAAAAGGGGTGGGGGTTGTATTGGAAAATTTGAAAGAAGAACAACTATTTTGTATAAGTCACCCCTTGTGTTTTCTAGCGTCATTTACTCGGTGTTATGTTTTAGTAGTGTGTTTTCAAGATCATCAAACAAAATTGTCTTTTAACTTTGATTTCTTACTTAATTCTTAAGTGAACATTACTTATTATAGATAACTAACTTTGTATCAGTTCTTTATATTGAATTAGAATAACTATCTTTAACTAGAGTGTGTTTTAAACTTTATTGTTTATCAAGATTGCTATTAGTTATTCTTTTTTAAATGGTTCATTTTTTTTTTTGGATTTCTTCATAATTGTGTATCTTTAATAAAATATCATTTTCATTTTTTTAAAATTAAATTTAATATTATTTTATAATAATTATTAATAATGATCCTCTTGATATCTTTTTCTTTATGTAAATTAGAATAATTTTCCTGAATTCAAGTGTTTTTAAGAATTATTTTTGAACGAAAATGTTTTTAGTTGTTTTTTTAACATTAGTGTTTTTAGGTATTTTTATTAACTTTCTTCATTAGTGTGCTAGAGACCTTTCATGACAAGTGTTTCAGACATTTTATGGTAGGTGGTCAATACTTGTCATAATATAAGTGTCAAATATGATATTTTAACACATTTTATATTCATGTATTCTATGTTGTTGGGTAAAATCATATTCGACATAGAATGAGCATAGTCTATATGTCACATGCGTTAGGTGTGGCCTCACTCAACATAATAAGTATCACTTTCTATGTTAGGACAATTGGATATAGTTTTGCTCGACATAATAAATGTATGTTTTTTTTTTTAATTTTAAATATTATATACTTTTTAAACATTTTTCAAACCTATAAATCAAAAAAATAATTTCCAAACAACTAAATGCAATATAGAGTTGTCCAATTTAATACAACCCTATATAATCATCACAAGAAAAATGCAAATTTTTTACGAACATAATCCGTCGATAAAAAGGAATATCCGTTGAAAAAGATAATTTTCGATAGATTTCTGACAGATGCAAATCTGTCGAATAAAGGGGCGTCAGAAAAAAAATCTGTCGGAAATTATTTGAAAATCTTTATGTGATTCTGATGAATAAATCCGTTGGAAATTTTTTGTTTTATTTTAATAAATTTATTAATGTAACACCTCTCATATTGGCCTCTCAAGGGTTTCATTTCACGACACTTCATTTTTTAGCATGCTTTGTCCTTATTCGCATAATTTGTGGGAAACTTCACAGAAAGTCACCCATCCCTATATTACTTCAAGCCAAACACGCTTAATGTAAAGTTCTAATGACATAAGCTACCGAAAAATAAATGCATATTGTTAGTATAGGTAGTACAAATTAATTCATTTAAGTCATTATCAATTATACAATCTCATACTTGTATTATCTTTAGATCCCTTTCATTTTGGTATGTCCGGACTGTTATAGAAATATAATATATATATAATAATTATATTATCAATAATAATTATATTATATTTAATTATTCTTTATTTGTATATATACTTACTTTTATAATTAACAATCTACTTATTTTTATTTAAAATTAATATTATGATATAATTTAAATGATTTATTATAA